ATAGCATTCCACAGAAAAAAATCTGGAAACTTCTTCACACAAACATGAAAAAAACTCAGGACCCACAGAATTAGGATTTCTAATCTTTCCTTTATGTTCCCTTATAGGCTGCTGTATTAAGAGAGATAAAAAGGACAAAGACAGTCAAGAATTATTTCCTTTATGGGCTATTTTAATTACAACTTTTAAATGTTTGACCTAAAAAACGGTCAGCTCTTTTCATTTAGCAGATTCATGGCACAAATGTAACTAAATAATTAAAGCATTCATGTATTAAGAAAACTTGAAGAAATGGGTTCTATTTCAAATATCCATACCCTTTGACTCAAGAATTTCTATTTCTGGAATATATTCTAAAGACATCATCTGAAACATGCAAAGAACTCTTTTAAGCGTTATTTACCATAGCGAAAAATGGGAAACAATCTAATATGCCCACCAAAAGGGAAATAATTTTAAAATTGTGGTACATCCATAAGATAGGGTATTATATACCTATTTCAGAATATTTACTAAGAATGCCTTTTTACTTTTTTTCCCTGAATTGGACTTTTTAAAAAAATATATTTTATTGGGGAATTGGGGGAGGGGAACAGCATTGGGGAACCAGGGGAGGGGAACAGACAAGTTGCTGTCCTTTTGTTCTTCGGTCTAGTTGTGGAGGACGTTGCTTCACTGGCCCATGTTGATATTATCATTGTGCTCTTCCTGGGTGAGGCAGATCAGTCACCGGCCTCTGCACGGCTGCTCACAGAGGCTCTTGGCAGCTCACAGCAGCTGCTGGCCGCTCACGCTGGCTGCCAGACACACACAGTAGCTTATGGCAGCCCACTGCAGCAAGGGACTGCAGCATACTGTTGCCGGAGACTCACGGCAGCCCAGCTTCAGGTTGAGCTGTTGTCCACCATCTTAGTTGTAGAGGGCAGTGTCACTGGCCCCCATGTGGGATCCGAACCGGGGCCCTGCTGCTGAGCTGGCATCCCAAGCCAGTTCTTAACCAACATGCCACTCGGCCAGCCCTGGATTTTTTTTAAAAGTAATATATACTCATTGTAAAAGAAAATTAAAAAAATAAAAGTGAAAAACAGAAATCCTCTCATTCTCTTAACATTCTATCCCCAACTCCCAAAGTTAACTATTGCTAAGTTTTAACATGTGTATAACTCCTAGAAATTTTCTAGGTACATACAAATTTATCTAACAAACTTTCATATATCGGTAATCCTTTGTTTTGTTTTTAACAAAAGGAAGGCCATACTAAGCTTGCTGTTCTTCAACTTGCTTCTTACACCTATTTTGGCTATTGTTCTGTATCAGCACATACAGATCTACCTCATTCATTTCAAATGGGTGTTTCAATATATATCAAATCCTGGATTGATAGATATTTAGCTTGATTATACTTTTCTGCTTACAAATAATGCTATAACTAACACACTTGGATATATAATTTTATGTACTAGTGTGAATATATCAGTTCCTACAAGTACAGTTTTGACATTTTAGGCATTAAAGTTATTGCCAAATCACCCACCAAAAATACTGTATTAATACCTTTCTCCCTACCTCTCCAAACCATTCAAAATATTTCATACTAATAACTTTTAAATCTCTGCCAATCTGGAAGATAAGTACTTTAATTTACACGCCTGTAAGTATGAATTAGGTTAAACCACTTTTCTATTGACTAGTTCATCTTTTTCTTACAGGCTTATAACACTTTCTTCTGAAGAGTCAGGAAATTAGCCCTTTGTTATGTGTTGTAAAACATTTTTTCAATTTGTTATTTTCTTTTAGTAGTGCTTATAGTATTTTTTCATGGTCTAGGAAATTTCTCTATCCTTCCCATTAGGGGTCTTGGATTTTATGCATGTTTTGAAGATGTCCCATCTCAAATATAAAAGAAATACATGTTTCCTTCTATTACTTTTATAATTTCATTTTTATAGTTTTGAATGACTGTAAATTAAAATGCAGATATATAGTTATTTACACAGTTGGAGCTCAACTGGGTAAAGACATAGAAAAATACTGCAACGAAATAAATAAAACAGACAGTGATTACTGCTGAATGGTAGGTTATATATGATCTTTTCTTCTGCAATTTCCAATTTTTCTACAATTACTTGTACTACTTTTTTTTTGTGTTTTTTTTTTAAGATTTTATTGGGGAATTGGGGGAGGGGAACAGACAAGTTGCTGTCCTTTTGTTCTTCAGTCTAGTTGTGGAGGACGTTGCTTCACTGGCCCATGTTGGTATTATCATTGCGCTCTTCCCGGGTGAGGCCGTCACTTGCCAGCCATTGGACGGCCACTCTCGGCAGCTCACAGCAATTCACAAAAGCTCAAGCCCATTGTTGGCCAGCCCCACTGCAGCCTACACTGTTACCGGCGACTCATGACACCCCAGCTCCAGGTTGAGCTGTTGTTCACCATCTTAGCTGTAGAGGGCACAGCATCACTGGCCCTCATGTGGGATCCGAACCAGGGCTCTGCTGCTCAGAGCTGGCATCACAAGCCAACTTCTAACCAACGTGCCACTCAGCTGGCCCTTGTACTACTTTTACAATCAGTAATTTTATAATCAGTAATCATGCATTATTTTTAAAATCAGAAGACAATACAACTTCTTAAAATTATCATATTTAAATTTTTTCAATGGTAGAAACTTCAATTCATAATTGAGTACTGAGTACCTGACCTAGATTGGGTCTAATACTAAGGCAGAGCTTTGTATTTTCTTTTAACTCCATTGACTTAGATGCCATGACAGGAAAAAAACCTCAAATTGCCAAATAAGGGTCTGTTGAAAGCAAGAATTATAGTTCCACTTGGGAAGTTCATTTAATCACAATAATAGCTACACCTATTAAGTCATTACTATGTGTCAAGTGCTTATGTATATTAACTTATTTACTCTTCACAACATCTTTATGAGATAGGTATTATTATTATCTCCTTTTTACAGACTGGAAACTAAGGCACAGAAAGGGTAAGTAATTTCCTCAAACTATGAAAGCTATGAAGTGGCAGAGCCAGGATTGGAGTTCAAAGGGTCTGGCTCCAGAATCCCCATTCTTAAGTTGTAAATTAAAATGCTATCAAAAAATTAATAGAAAAAGTGGGAAGTTACTTCTGACAACCTAGAAAGCGTTAAAGAATGAAACTAAGCCACAAAAGGGCCTGAGATCAATTTATCCAAAACATTTTTAAAAGGCGGAGCCTATGGAAAATATGACATGCATTTATTTATTTGTTTGTTTGTTTGTTTATTTATTTATTTCAAATCTCTAGCTTCAGAGATTTGAGAAAAAACTTCAGAAGGGAGTTTATTTCCTCCTTTCTTATTCAGGTGGCATCTCTAAGCTGAATCTCTGAGTTGAGGTTTCCCAAATATGGCGTCAGTGCATTGCTACAGATACAAGTGCTCTGAAGAGCTGGGTAATAATTAAGTACATGTGACCTAAACTGTTGCTAACATTAAATTCTAAGTAAAAGCTAAAAGTAGTAGCAGATGCTTGTAATTTCCCTGGCTGATCTTTTGTTCTTTGTCTAATTGCCAAAATCTGCTAGAATCTTCCAAAATGTGCACATTTTCCTTCCATAATGCTAGGGAATGTGCCCACTACATTATCTTCAACGTTACTTTCCTCCAAAAAGTTAGCCCAATTTGGGCTATATATTTCTGGCAAACCAATTTTTGGTGCTTCGTGTGAAGCTTCAAGTCAAACAAAAAAATAAGCAAATGTGGTACTTTCTAATCCTCACAAATTAGGGAACTTTTTAGAATGAGTCTTTCTAATTCTGAACTCTACCAAGCATTAGTGATAATTTCATGCTTCCTTTTCTGGCTTTGCCTTTGTCAATATTACTGCCTCAAAGGCCTCTTCAAGTACCTAAGCGACAAAAATATTTCAACTTACTTGTGTGTGTGTGTGTGTGTGTGTGTGTGTGTGTGTGTTTTAAATAAAGGATTAAAAAATACAAACTTGACCATAAAAATGTAGGCACAAACATAAAGGAAAGGAATATAAAGAAATTTCTGTAAATCAACCTTTGTTAGTACTTGTAAGTTTTTTTCAGTATAAATGGCCACACCGGACTAGAAGAATCTCTGAGAAAAAGCTTTTAAGTTGACGGTAATTTTAAAGACATAAGAAGAGTTTAACTACAGATGAATGGCCATAGATTGCCAATGATAAGAGCCATAAGGTTGAAACCCTGGTGCTCTCTACAATCTAATTTTGATGTTATGACTGCTTTCTAAGGATTTACTGTACGAAAATAGCCTCAATTTTCTAAACTGTAAAATGGGGATTAAAATAATTGCTCACTGTTACTATAAAAAATCATGATATTCCTATTAGAAACTATGACATTTATAAATTGATAGAACAAATGATTACCTTATTAAACAAAAGAACTGCTTAGGTTAATTTACAAACATATTATCTGGAAAAAAAAAGTGAGTAATGAATGATTAACATCTCTTGATAGTACAGTACTACCTTGGTTTGTGAGCATAATTCATTCCGGAAGCGAACTACTCATATTGCAAGACATCGCTCGTTTACCACGTTAAAATCTATTAGAAATGTTTGCTTGTCTTGCAAAACACATTACTCGTAATCCAAGGTTTTACTGTATATGTTAATTTTCAAATAGAGTGATGTGACCCACAGGGAAATGATAGAATAACCCCAAAGAGAGAGAGAGCGAGATCTAGGAGAAAGTTAGCTAATGGTTACAAAAAGGGCTGAACTGGCCCTTTATTACATGAACTTTTTAATCTCTCACTCTTGCCCAGCCTGTATGAGCCACTGACTTGCCAGAGAGGAAAACAATGACTCTTAGATGAGCAGTAGGTCACTATGGCACCTTTAAGAGCTTTATTTTTAGAGGAAAGAAAAATTAGGAGCTACGAGACCCAAAGAAGATCACAAATGGGTACAATAAATATTTCTAGAGATTTGGAATAACAAAATAAAACTGGTACTTACAACTTGAGACTCACGAGCTTTAGGAAACATTTTGGCAACGTTGAGTCCATCAATAACAATGTCAAAAGGAGGACAGTTTTTCACAAAGTTCTGAAATCTCTTAAGTTCCTACAAAAGAAAAATCAGAGAAAACATTAATAAGAACATAGTAAAGAAGCTATTATAAACACATTGCAATGACTTTTATTATTGTTTTGGGAACTCAAAATATTCATTCCTGAATAACACACACACACACACACAGAGATCCTTTCAAAACGAAATCTGAAAAAGTCAGTCTAGTAGATGAAAATACATAATTACCTGATACACTTTGGAATCTAATAGCGCTTTCACAAAGTACTTTCCCATGCTATTTCATTTGATCTCTAACCAGCGATCTAGTCTGCTAAATTGACACACAATAGTCATGATGAGAATTAAATGTCAAAATCTCTATGCCCTATTGTAAGCCAAGAAGACGTCAAACCTCAGGTATGCCAGTTTACCTCATCTGTGTTGAAAGAACAAGGTCCTATAATTTCTAGCTCTTCTTTTGTCATCAAGAGGCTTCTGTTGTTTACTTATGGCTGTTCTCACAAGTTGAAGATTCATTCATTCATTCAACAAATATTTGTTGAACATCTTACAATGTGCCTAGCAGTTACCAAAGAGACAAAAAAACCCTAACTTAATGGAACTTGCATTTTTAGTGAAGCAGACACAAAATAAACCAAATAAGTAAGTAAATTATATTAAGTTTCAAGTGTGATGAGTGCTATGAAGGGAAGAAATGGAGGAGAGGGAGTTTCACTTCTGGTAATGATGGAGTAGTTTATTGGAGTATAGAAAATAACTTAAGTTCTGTATATATATAACAATTATTTGAAGCTACTAGAGAAATATCCAAATGTAGGCAGAAACTGGAAAGAACACAAAATTTGAAAGGAGGTGTGGTGCTTTCAAAACATGTCTGAAAATTCTTCTGACATTCCTCCCCACTCAAAAAGTGGAGTCTAGTTTCCTCCACGTGAATATGAGCTCTCTTATGTGACTGTCTCAATAAGTGGAATGTAGCAGAAGTGATGCTATGTGATTTCTGAGGCTGGGTAATAAAAAGCAATATAGCCTCCATCTGGCGCTCCTTCTTAAGATTCTTGCTCTTGGAACCCAGCCATTGTGAAATGCCCAGGCAGAGGCTACATGACAGTCCAAATGAGTCCCAGGCAACAGCCAGGATCAACCATCAGACTTTGGAAAGTGAAGAAGATTTCAAGATGACCTCAGGCCCCATTTGATTACAATAGTAGGAGACCCAAGCAAGAACCACTCAACAGTCTAGTCAAGCCCTAGAACCATGAGAGATAATAACTATAGTACTAATAAATAATTGTTTCTGTTTAATGCCACTACATTTAGGATAGTTTATTGACCTAGGGATACCCAGAAAAGAAGGGAATTACACAAGGTGACATTTGTCTGTACGTGGCTTTTTGCAAGAGGGTATTATTCTCCAGTCAGCATGGCTAGCAGGGGCAGCTGGAAATCAAGCAGAAAGCTGCAGACTTACTGGTTTGAGCAATCAGTAGACAAGAATTCGGGGCTCCCAGAGAGGCTGAAAAGTGAGACAGGGAATGCTAGAAAGGAGGGAACCACAAAAATCTGTGCATAAATCTACCCAAATACTTGACTAACTCTTGATCTGTACATGCATAGAGGAGACTCTACAGAGCCCAGCAGAAAAAAACAGATCCAAGACTTGAAAGACCTAAGCAGAGACTTCAGTTATCATGTGCTAAAAGGGTGAGAGTCTGGAGTCTGCGTCTCAGCACATTTAACAGCCTTATAAAGAAAAAAAAAATCAATAATCTCCAGAGAGAGATAACAGAATTTAGACTCTTTGCAATATGTCCTTCACAACGTCCAATATACAATTAAAAAGTTAACACGAGAAGAAATAGGAAAATGTGACTCAGTCAAGGGAAAAGGAAGTCAATATAAATCAATCTAAGGTTCAGATGCTGGCGTTAGCAGGCAAGAACTTTAAAGCAGCTATTGTAAATACATTCAATCATTTAAAGGAAAATATAGTAATAATGAATGCAAATACAGAAAAACAGACAAATATAGATGGTTCCCGACTTACGATTGTTCATTTTACAATTATTCTATTTTACAACAGTGTAAAAGCAATACACATTCAGTAGAAACCACACTTCTAATTTTGTATTCTTTTCAAGTACACATGGAACACCAAGATAGACCACAAGCTCTAGGCCATAAGTCTCAGAACATTTCAAAATATTAAAATCTGAAAGAGTATGTTTGCTGATCACACACACACACACACACACACACACACACAAAATTAAATCAGAAACCAATAACAGAAATATATCTATAAAAGTTCAAAATATTTCTAAATAATACTTCTAAATAACCCATGGGTCAAAAAAGAAATTACACAGAAATTAGAAAATATTTTGTACTATGTGGTGATAAAATAGCAAGTATCAAAATTCATAGGATGCATTCGAGCAATACTTAGAGGGAAATGTATAGCTTCAAATGCTTATATGAAAAGAAGAAAAGGTCTAAGAGGGAACTAACTGCAATGAACTTCATCTAAGTTTCCCCTTAAGCTAGAAAAAGAACAAATTCAATTTCAAAAACAGTATAACAAAGCACAGAATTAAAGAAATAGAAAACAGAAAAGCAAGAAAATTAACAAGAGAAAAAATCGGAAAATACATGAACCACCATCACTTTCTCAATCATACTCAAAAATTATTTTGAAATAGATCATAAATCTAAACCCAAAAGCCAAAACTATGGAAATTCTAGAATAGGCAAATTCTTCACAACATCAGGATTAGCAAAAATTTCTTGGGCAACACATAAAGTCATTACCAATATTTACACAGTGTACCTCTTGATATGATGTCTCTGAGAAGGATACATTATTTTTTGTGATATTCTTGGCAAAAACGCATAACCTGAATTTAATCATAAGAAAACATCAGATAAAAAAATGTCTCAAACTGAGAGACAGTCTACAAAATAATAGGCCTATTGAAACACTCTTAAATTAAAAGTTGAGGTCCAAGAAAGGTAAAAAAACCCCGGAGATTTTTATTGTAGATGAAAATAGACCAAGGAAACATGACAACTAAACCCAAAGTGTGATCCTAGATTGGATCTGGGAAAGAAAAGCTTATAAAGCACATTTTTGGGACAAGTGACAAAACCTGAATATTAACAATGGATTAGATAATATTATTGTATCAATGTTACAGATGAAGAACTCCCTTCAGGCCAGTAAGTACATGAAAAGATACTCAACATAATTAGTCATTAGGGTAATGTAAATTTCAAACCACAATGAGATATCATTATATATCCACTAGAATCGCTAAAATTAAAAAGACTGACCATAACAAGTATGTGGAGCAACTGGAACTTTCAAACAATGCTGGGGAATGCCAAACAGTGCAACCACTTCGGCAAACAATTTGGCAAGCTTCTTACAAAGGTAAGCATATATTTCTCTTACAATTTAGCAATCTTACCTCTAGGTAGTTACAGAGTTACAGAAGTGAAATGAAAACTTAGATCCATACAAAGAGTTACACATGAATGTTAATAATGACTTTATTCCTAATTGCTAAGAACTGGAAACAATTCAAATGTCCATGAACTAGTAAAAGAATGGGAAAAATAAGTAGTAAAAAGAAAACTACTGATACATCTAACAATATGGATGACTCTCAAAAGTATTATGCTACATAAAAAAAGGTAGACACAAAAACACTACTTACATACTGTGTGATTCCATTTATATGAAATTTAAGGCAAAATTATACCAACAGAAAGCAAACTAATAGCTCTAGGAAGTGGGGAGAGGGAACTGACTGCAATGAACACGAGGGAATTTGGGGGGGGGGGAATAAATGTCCCATATCTTGATTATGAAGGTTGTAATACAATTGCCTGCATTTGCGAAAACACACTGAATTGCACACTGGCAAATTTTAGTGTATGTTAATTATACCTTAATAAAGCTGACTAAAAAACAAAAGAAAATCCTAATACTATACATAATATATTTCATCTTTAAAATAACCATTGATTCATATGCATACTTTCATTTCTCATTTGACTTTTTTAGCTTTTCCATCCCTGCCAACTCCAATTGTGCGGGACCAGCCCCTTTCTTTCCTACTTAGCAAAACACTATTTTAAAATTTCTCTCCTCAAATATATTTCCTATAAATGTTTAGAAAGTTCCAATTAAATCAAAACTAACTTAAATATTGGTTAAAAGAGGGATACCATTTTTTATGAATGGAAATAAAGCCATCAAGGAGAATTAAAATGGTTTACAAATAATATGACCATTTTTGTTCCACTCTGAATGAATCAAGGGAAACAAAACAAGCACATTAAATTTCTAAAATTCAGGTTCACTAACAATTAACGTGGACAAGATTTCCCACCACACTGCTAACTTATCATTTTGGTGCTGCTCTTAGTACTACATAATATTCACCTCAGGAGTAATGACAAACTAAAGTATTCACTTCAGGAGTAATGACAAACGAAGGTATTTCAGTATTACTGGCTAAATGGACATCTGTAAAAATCAAGAGTTAAACTAGATAGCTTATAAAATCCCCTTCCAGTTCTGATAGTCTATGTTCACAAGACTTGGAAATCCCTTAAAATCACAGAATGGAAAAGGGTACACTTGAGATGGTTTGTTTGAAAGTTGAGTCTCAGTAGCCTCTGTGTAATCACAGGATGTGTAATAAAATCCCAATACAATCCTATCCAAAGATTATCCTCCTGACCATATCTTCTAATAGACAGAAAAACCCAAGATGTCAGGTTGGGGTTCTTTTCCTATTACTAAAGCTCTGCTTACTAAGCAAGTATGTTATTAGTTAGGAATTCATTGTAATACTTCCAGTGGGCCTCCAAGATGCTCACTTTTCAAACTCCACAAATTTATGTTACTGCAGGCAAAAGCCTTTGAGTAGATCATGCTGAAAAGGCATGACAAAGAAAGAGTTGACTTATTGAGACAGAAAACTAGCTGTGGAATAGGGCATTACAAATCTGCAAGCTTA